CCTGTGTTCTTCCTCAGTGTGAGGACAACTGACAAAAAATACAAAGTAAAGCAACATTCACACACGAAACGAAAAAAGAAGAACATCGAATCAGCGGTAAAGAACAAAGGCGCGTAATAAGATGCGATAAATACCGTAAATGAATAGTCTGATAAGTAAGCGAAGTCTTTATTTAAACCGTTAATATAAGAATTGGTTCTAAGAATCTACTTCAATTCTTCTTTGCGTTTATGTGAGAGGGACCAAAAGGTATTAGCGATAAAAATAAATCTTATGTCATTAATGCTATGGTTAGGTAGATTGAAGTGACAGGCTACTGGGAAACCAGTGGAGTTGTCTCTGATGGTTTTTTTGTGATTATTAAATCGGAGGCGGAATTTGGTGCCAGTCTCTCCAATGTAATTACCAATTTGACATTTGTTACAAAATAAAATGTAAATAACTTTAGAAGAATCACAAGTAAGTAGAGGGGGTCTAATAGTAATATTAGTACTAGGAATAGTGAATGTGTCAGAGGTGCACATGAAATTGCAAACTTGGCATCTGGGTTTACTACATTTAACATTACCGAAAGAGTGGGAATTCTTATGGATTTTAGAGGATGAGAGAATAGATTTCAAATTAGGGGGTTGTCTTTTGGCTAGTAGGGGAGGGTCTTCAAAAAGGTGGCAAATAAATTTTTCTTTATTGAGAATTTTATAGTCAGTTTTAAGTTGGCGGTTAAGAGAACTTATATTGGGATGGTAGTCGAAGACGAGAGGAATGCGGTTATTAGTAATATCTTTGGGTTTATAATCTAGAAGGGATTGTCGGGGACGGGTTGAGGCTTTAGAAATAGCTGATATTATTAGTTTAAGGGGATAATCATTATTAAGAAAATGGCTAGTAAGTATGCCAATTTGTTTGTCATAATCATCCGAAGATGAGCAAATTCGTTTAATTCGTAGACACTGACTATAGACAATAGATTTTTTAAGGCTTAAAGGGTGGGAGCTGTGAAAGTTCAGAAATTCATGGTTATCAGTAGGTTTAGTGTATAAAGAGGATGTGATTATGTTGTTATAGTAGAGTAGACTTGCCACAAGTCTCTTATTTGTTATTATTTTTCTCATTCTGGACAGCGCCACCAACGAGAAAGTTAATTTAGAGATAGACGGAATAATTCGAAAAAAAAGAAATCGAGTATGGGACGCCAATTAAATTAATTTAATTAAATTTGGTATGTTGCGCACTAAGTGCAATAAAGAGTGAGTAATCTAAAATTAAAATTAGGCCTGGAACCCAGGCTATTAGAAGAGATGCCTACAAGAACGTCTAAAAATGGAAGTTTGGAAGGCGAAGTTTCAAAAGTAAATTTAATGTTAGAATGGAAGCTGTTAGCATGTGATTTAAAAGCATTGAGGGTATCTTCACCGTGGGGCCAAATGAAGAAAACATCATCAATATAGCGAGCGTAGTGAAGGGGTTTAAGGTGAAAGGATGAAATAATAGCCGTCTCAATCTCGTGCATAAAAACATTAGCATAGCTAGGAGCCATTTTCGTGCCCATAGCGGTCCCCTTAATTTGAAGATAGTGACTGTTACTAAAAGTGAAATGGTTATGCGTAAGAATGAATTTAGTAATGGCAATGATATCATTAACATGTTCGGCTGGCACACATTGTTTAAAAAGGAAATTATTAAGTGCTTGAATACCTTCTTCATGTTAGTATAGAGCGAAGTAACGTCCATAGTGAATAGGACAGATTGGTTAGGGATATTAGTTATATTATCAAGGATTCTAAGAAAGTGCGTAGTGTCTTGGATGTAGCTAGTGGTATTAGGGAGTAAGGGGTTGATAATGGAATCAACAAGGCCAGACAGATTTTCAGTGAGGGTACGGTACCTATGCAGGAAACGATTGGTCTACCAGGGGGAATGATATTGAGCTGTTTAGATAAATTAAACATTTCAATAGGCTTAAGTGCGCTGACATTGTAGTTAGTATTAGACAGTGATTTTGATTTATTATCAATAAGTTTAGGCAGTTTGTGGATTTTCGGGAGGGTATAAAACAAGCCAGGCTTGGGATTAGATGGGGTAAGATTAACAATATCAGAGTGACTTAGATTACTTATCAGACTATTCATTTATATATACTTAATTTTTTCTTGGTTCTTAGGCCTTTATCCAGCTTTTATCTACTTTGTTTATTCAATATTAAGTAGAACGTTTAGGATGCGCATCTTATTACGCGCCTTTGTTCTTTACCGCTGATTCGATGTTCTTTTTCGTTTCGTGTGTGAATGTTGCTTTACTGTATTTTTTGTCAGTTGTCCTCACACTGAGCAAAGAGTATAAATAGAACAAGAGAGCCAACAACGCTCATTGAGAGCGTAAAAAAACGATACACCCATACGCAGCCAGAGCCATATATATATCTATCGCAGCTAGTGTAGGACGCCAACTAACGCTTGTATGTGTTTTATTACCCAGTACTCTACCGCGCACGGTCGGTTTGTCTGTTTATCTGTTCTCCACAAGATACTGTACTTTTGTTTTCTGCTTACTGAGTTTTTAAAGCGGGCGTACTTCTACCGCGCTGCGCAGCGCTGCACTGGGTAATAAAAAGAATATACAACCGTTAGTGGGCGTCCTACACAGGCGTGACGTTTTTACGAACGGGACTTTGCTCTCTTGTTCTATTTATACTCTTTGAAACTAACTGTAATAAATTTTTCTCATAACTTTAGCAATAGTCAGTCAATTCTAGTAAATGACCTATCATTTTAAAGCTTATGATGTGGAGAATATGAATATATGAATATATATTGCTATATACATGCTGGTTTGGCATGGCAAGCCCCATATTGTCAGGATCGACTTACAAAATATGTGGCAAATAAAAGACAAACCAGTCACTTGTTGCAAATCATGTCATATCAGAGATGATTGCCACAACATGCATGAATGTCAAAATTGTTGAAATCTATTTTGTTGCACTAAACTAACCTTTATATATCTATACATCATGCTATGCTATTATTTTCCTCATTTTCAATTTTAAAACAATTTTTAACGATTTGGTGATGATCTCTGCCTGAGAAATGCTTGAAATCATAAACTTTGAAGGCTGATTACTCAAATATTGTTCTTTAAACCGCTCTATGTTTAAATGCTTGTAACTTCTTAAGGAAATGTCGGATTCTTTTACCATTTTATTGCTCTCATTTTCCTGTTTACTGTCGTAATAATTAAAAATCTTTCAACGGCATAAAAATAACAATGAAATTTTGTAACTTCAAATACATTTTCTTTAAAAAACTATACAATTAAACCAGTTTTTATACAATATATACTATTACACACCAAATATAAACAGTCCCTCCCTCATCGATAAAAACAAAACCGGAAAAAATCTATTGTTCCGATTAAAAAAAAAAAAAAAAAACAAAACCACCCTCCCTCATTAATTTTTTTTATAAAGAGTGATAATCCAATAATTTTTTCTATGTGCCCTTAGACCTACTACCACGGAGAAAATTTCTATTTGGGTGATTCTGCATCTGCACGACGAATGGGCATGTTTTGGCCTTATCCAGTGTGAACAATCTAACCATGGGGACGTCTAGTTTAGGTCTACTTCTACTGATATTTTCTCAATGAATTGGATGTTTACATTAAATAAATCCTTGGTTTATAGTGAGGTGGGCGTTATTTCGTGTTTTAATTATGTTCCTGGTGTTTACAAAATCATTCACATGATCCCGGTCGGCAGCCTGTAACTGTAAATAATTCTCAAGAAAACTACAAATAAAAAAGTGAGTATCAATAAAAAAAAAAAAAAAAATTATTCGCTCAGTGTGGCTTTAGTCTGACGAGTGTGTTTGTTTTGATGCTAATTCAATTGTGAATCGGGACTAGCTAAGAACAACATTGGTTCTCAGGGACAGTAATGTGGTGACTTCAAAATTTTCAGAAAAAATGTTGATCACAATTGCGGCTGTTTGCCACCCCACGAGAGGTGGCAAACATCCCTGAGTAGTGGTGGCGCCTGGATTAATTTGGGCCAAATATAATTAATACTTCAAGAGGCTCTAGTCGGCCCCTTGGTTAAGACTCCCCTTCCACCCGCCTTGGACACATTAGACCGTCTAATGTGTCTAAGTTTGGGAAGGGAGAATGGTTATTTCTTCTCGGTGGCCGGAGCAATAATATTAGCTTCCACGAGCCTGTATATATAATAAAGATAAACTCTAAACTGCCTTGCGGTTATACTAAAAAAGATATATAAACTAGAAATTGCAGATTGCAAGTGAAGTGCTGCGAAGTACAACTGCATAAAATGTTCTTCGAACAAAATTATTTATGCGAGTCAAGTGAAAATAATGAATAATAAAAATATAACAAATAATATGAGCACGACCCATTTTGTCTATATTAGAACAGCGTTGGTGCCGTGTACAATAGTGTTTTGCTGCAGTGACATCTCTCTGCTGGCGACTCGCTGCTGCTGCTGGCGATGACTCGCTGCTGGCGAATCGATCTGCGCATGTGTATAAAATGGTATTTATTTCCGAAAACACTATGCCAGTCTACAACAGCGTCACCTAAATGTAATAATTAGCACGTTGAAATAGGCTAGTAAATAAGTTTAACTGGGTTCGTAAATAATATTGGCCTCAAAATATTGTGGCTGAGACATGAGCCGATTAAACGTAGAAATAGGAAACCTAGAAATATAGTAAAACGCTAGAGTACTCCAGCGTCCGACATGCCGACGTTGGTATGAGTAGGTTAGTCTACAAACGTCGCCTAAAGTAATTGATTTTACCCGGCAGAACGAAAGAACGAAACTCCGCTTTTCAGTTGTCTTAGGCGATAGTTTTTTGACAAACAATGACCTTTCAGAGGTCAAATTGCTGTCAAGAATATGAATTGGCTGCTTCGCAGCAATAAATGTTGAATTCTAAAAAAAAAAAGAGGAAATCTGCGAGTGTGACGAAAAATAAGTGCCCCAGCCGGGATTACAACCCGGTAACACAAACAGCAAGCGAAATGATACAACAAATAAGCAAGGAGTTGTTATATATAAATAACAAAATCCCTGGAGTAAATATTATTAAAGCGTAACATTAAAATCGATTCTAATAAAATTATGTCTCCCTAATCAAATAAAACATTTTAAAAGTTTGAAACTGACATCGTCCTGTAAACATGCCATATTTTTGGTAAATTAAACTAGTCGCTTACAGGTACGAAGTATTCACAGGAATTCCGTCAGGTAAAGAGCGAAGTCCAAGTCCCTTACAAGTAACAGTCAAAGTCCAGTCAACATTCGTCCGGCAGCTACAAACTGCGACCGAACTATCGTTTCCGCATGCCGACTGGGAAGTTGTCACCTCGAAGACAAATTGTAGGATCAGGATAGCTGTCCAAAGTAATGCAGTCATTTCGGTTTTCCAGGAGAACTACAACAAGGAAACAACCTTGCTAACTGTTTTGATTCATGATCTAATAGTGCGGTGCCGTTATGAGGCAAACCTTTTTATTCATCAACAAAAGTTTAAGATATAGTAGGCCTATTCAAAATGAAAATTGCTTTTGTGCTTAATGTGTAAAGTGACAGAGTGAATACTGATAGTTCACAATTGAACAGGTCAACCGTTCATTCTGGTGTATTAAACCTAATAATTGACTTTATTTCAACATTATTTGACTCTCAAAATTATTTGATCCTCAACCTCTATCTAAATCTCCGGTCGACAACCCATGGATCGCGATCCAAGTTTGGGACGTGAATAGATTTTTAGGGTCGTTAGATCGCATCTGGGTTTTAAAAAATATACAGAAACTTTAAAACAAACCATTTTTTTTTAAATAAATAATTTTATAAAATGTTGGCTATTGTCTACAGTTTACAATTTGTGTAATATTTTACTGTTGTCATCCGATTTACGAATTGATGAGCTTGATAAAATCGCTGTGCGCCGGCAGTGTGTTCTAATAAGCAAAATGAGTATTGTTTATGTGGGCCTACCTATATATATTATATCGATAAGCATACATGTCAATACATATATTATATGTAGGTAGGTCAATACATAGGTATAATTATATCATCAATTATTTTCCGATAAGTCCACAGTCGAGTGCGAACAAGTAGTTACTGAGCTCCGCTAGGAATTTTGTTGGCTTATGTTTTACATTGAAAGCGTGAGCGGACCCGAGTTCATATCTCCTGCCGCATGCAAATCGTCGAAAACGCACTCCCCAATGGAAGTGAGTACGCCTTTTTGGATGTTGTTTTACCCAATTGCTGTTTAACGTTCCAGTTACAAATATAACAACAGTAAAATTTGTGCACACTGAGGAAAGAATTAATGTAATAATAATAACGACTTTTAAAGCGCAAACATTACCACCAAAACTGATGCTCAAGGCGCAGTGTCAAACAACAGCAGAGAACAAACAGGAATCACAAACATCAAGCAAAATTGATAGTGGCTATGTTCAGACTTACGCTAGCGTAACGTTAATCGAGTGGTGTGAACTTGTGCGCGGCGTAGCGAACGCCAGTATTTATCGCACAATCACTGGCGTACGTTCACCTAGCAACAGACCCCAGATTAGCGTACGCCACTGAGTTACGACAGTCACGCATCAGTGATTTTGAACTCGGCCAGGATTTGACCAATCAAAATAAGCCTAGATGTAAACAGGAAATAAAGTGCGCGAATTAGGAATACGAATATTTCGCGCGAATACTTAAGCTAGCGTTCGTTAATCGCACAGTTTGGACATCTCGTTAGTTACGCCATGGATTAACGTACACCCGGCGTTAGATACGCCTGGCGTATTTCTCAGGTCTGAACGTAACCAGTGTTCCCCGCCTTTGGATCGCGCGCGCGGGCGTATTACCCTATAATTCACATTTTTTCGTTAGCAACAACTTGGCAACGACATGCATTTATACGCTTCCAGCAGAGCAGTTGTGCAATAAAGCGTTTGATTTTAACACATTAAATATCTTTATAATGAACAATGTTCCCCTGATTAGATTTTTTCGGACTTTTAGTATGTTATTATTTGTATATTTCAGGAACGGATTCCGTAAAATATTTATGTTAAAATTACTTCTGTGTTCATTATAATAATATAACACTATAAAGCTAAGTCAGCGTAAAACTGAAAAAATACTCAGATTTTGGATTGATTTTTCGAATAGTTAACCCTCGTTAACCCTAAAATGACTTAGTTTATTATAATCTTCAATCATTTATTAATTAATATCTGTTAAAATTAGAATTAGCGAATTTTGGCCAATTTATGGAAATTGAAGTTGAAATATACTATACTGGTCATGTAAATGTTCCATTAAATTCGAAACTTTTTTTGGTGGAAAATATTAATGTCTTTGATATTTTATGAGTGATAAATGTATCAGCTTCAAAATGGAAACGATTGCGCAGCCATAGTGATTGACTGTATGTAGTGCGCATTGAGAAAAGAAGGTGCTCTCCATTTCGGGGAACACATGGGACTTCAAAGGCATCGCGCGTTTTTTCATTTAGATCTCCATTTTTCACTAACTCCATGCGACGTTTATTTCTGTTGTATGAGTAGTCCATAGAGCTATTAAACAACTAGAGTGTTGACAAGATGGCGCAGCAATGCAGAGTTATGTATGTGTACCATCCAAGATCTGTCTCTTATACACATCTAGATGTGTATAAGAGACAGCGCTTAGTATACATATTATTACATATTAATAAGCCCTCTGACTGACTATTATTTCATTAATGATAATGAGTAATGGTAATAACAAATTATTAAACTATTGTAGCCAAAACGAGGCCAAGTGGAGCATCTTATTCAAAAATAAAGTACCACGGGTAGTTAGCTGTACTCTATTTTCTCTATGCTGTACTGAACCAAAGATCCTATAAACACAAGATAGCGTTCTCCGCAATTTACGCGTAACAAATAGAAGCGTCGGTCAAGGTTCAAAAGTTTCCAATTTAGCAAGAGGGCGCCATTCATGCACTATTATACCAAAGAGAAAAAGTAATCAGTTTTGGAAGAGGGCGTCCTATCTGTTGCCATGGATCTGAGATGGTTCCTGTTCTGCTGTTCACAGGATTGATACCCAGAGCGGTCAAGGGTCAAAAGTTTCCAATTTCGCAAGAGGGCGCCATTCATGCCTTATTACAGAATTTGCACGCGTAAATCGCGGAGAACGCTATCTTGTGTTTATAAGATCTTTGACTGAACCCTCTGAGTAAATTGAGGGCGCAATTGCAAACGATGGCGCTTAGCGAAATTTGATTGGCTAAATCTATGGCAGCCATCTTGGATGGTACCCACACAGTTCTGCCTATTTCTAACATCGAATACATTGCGGTTAGCGCTCTAGTATTCTTATTATTATCTCTATGGAGTAGTCGTATGAAGGTACCATATCCCCGACAGTTGGCTATGCAGCAAAATACCCTTTGAATAAAAATCGAAGACAAGTGAAGATATAAACGCAGTCGACTGTCGGGTATATAACGACTATCTAACTTTCCACAAAAACATTAGGCCTAAGCTAGGCCTAGTTCGTCAGTACAGTA